AAACAATAACGCTTGACCCTGATTGGTCGCAAAATGAGGTGTTTCTTCAGGTTGACATCAGTTTTACAATAGCGGCCAATAAGTGGCATTAGTGGCATTGTTTATGTTTCAAAGTTGAGAATGCCAAAATCTATCTTGGAAAAAAATAAAGTGTAGATTTTTGATTGTGATGGTTGGGGTGTTCAGATTATAGACCTCTCCGAACTGCGACCTAATTAGATCTATTGTGCTTCCCCGCATCTAGTGGGTTCCCAGATTAAGGCTTTTGATAAAGCCTATAATGTTCCTGGGATTGGCGTGTTTCACATCCACGTCCGTTAAGTAGGCTCCAGATGGATGAGTCTTTTGCGGCACAAGGCCTCACAGTTGCAAAGTATGTGATCCGCAGACTCGGAGGTTTCTTCACAGAAGCGGCATAGGTCTGATTCTGTTTTGCCCATCTGACGGACCAAAAATGAAACGATAGATAACACAAAAGTCGGAAGTATTTGATCATACATTTGAGAAAAATTATCTTAGAAAAATTAGCATTAAACCAAAATACATACTTAGATACCACCAAGAAATGAGAAATTGACCACTAGGCTTTGTCCAAACCGCTTTGACTTCTCTTAAACAAATTGCTCGGGCGAAACTCACAATGTAAATATTTGCACAAATAAATTTGATAATCATCGAGAAAGCAATCAAAAATATCAAAATGTTTAGGAAAACAAATTGAAGTCTATACTATATGTATAATACAATAATTTTCCAAGATGTAACCACTACAATGACCAATGAAAGTTTATAGATTTGGATCGAGAACAGTAAAAACAAATATCACCAAGCTAAAGCAAAAACTAAACTTTTTATAGCCCCCTAATAGAAGTCAAGAAATAGCATCAATATAAAACAACCAATCAGTAAATAAGATCACATACCTAAGTTACAGTAGAGAAAAGAAACGTTTCAAGATTGTTTGGAATACAAAATTTAGAAAGTCTTATTTTGTCTAATCCCAAGTTGAACTTATGGTCAAAAACCATGTGTGGTCATGCCCAAGCATTGTGTTGGAATTTACGCTGAAGAAAATTGTCAAGAAGGTAAACCCAAGTTGAACAAAATAATACTGGGGAGACATATTATATTTTATGTCTTCCCAGATGTATTTTAACACTGGATTTTAATGTGAAAGCCAATATGCCTATAGTAGATTTAACAAATCCTGAGATAGCTGCGGATAAAAATGAGAAAACCACTAAAACAAGTTATAAAGGAAGAGGAGCCAAATTTTAAACGAAAGAAATTGATACAGAACCAAACATGAAGAATGTGACCCCTGGGAGATTAAGCACAAAAATACTAGATCTAAACCCAAGTAAGACAAAAAAAAAAAGATGTTTAAGTTAGTGGCAAGAGATGCTTGCATGAATCCGAAGATTGTAGCTATTATGTATTGCCCAAAATTTAACAAATCCGGGATGTACCACGGAGTCATTATGGATTCAAATTCACCATACGCTGGTCCTATACTATGTAATTCTAATAATAAAACTGGAGATTATATTCAGATTGAAGGGGTCTGAACAAAATAAAGGACGTGGAATTTCCATTCCCTTCAATTGAAGACCAGTGAGATGGTTTTGCAGCACTGTTTAACGTCATCAGACATGAGAAGTGCATATTATCAAATAAAAGTTGAAGAAAAGTCCAGAACAAAGACCCCAATTTTTAGAATCATCAGATCTATGGTTACCGTAAATTTTTGTCCGAATACAAGGGACGGTACATGGTAGTAAAACGACTGACAAATGATCGATATAGACTCGAAGGTCTAAGGAAAATACAAAAAACTCAAAACCTGTATCGTAGAGTTGCTGCGTAGATGCACTGAAATCATAAAATACTGATTTTGAAGTTTCCGTTGAATAAAAACTGGAAACCGATGGACAGGTTTTGAGCTTTGAACCGCCGGCAGATTTCAATGATCTGATGAGTGGATTGCTGAGGACTTCATATCTTCCATCTATTGTATCCGACAACCTGATTTCTCCTTTATCCTTAGTATTGAACCTTTGGACCAAACTTTCTCTAAATTCAATAGGCTACCCTATAAATAGATCTCTGGCCTGTATATGGGCTTTTGTTTATCGTCTTTCTTGAAGGCCGGAAGTTAAATTGTACGGTAAGAATGATTCTACTAGTTAACAAGGACACTAAAATAACCCCCGAAAATAAACTATTACTATACAAGCAAGTTGTAAGATCTTCTTTATTTTACGGTACACCAGTTTTTTTTTACAGACATCACGACAAAATAAAGAAGAAACTATGCAGACGTTCCAAAACAAGGTAATCCGAAGGATGGTCGGCGCTCCGTGGTATTTTCGCAATGCGGACCTACATACGGATCTGAGCGTCGACACTATCCAGGAGTACCTTGTTGGGAAGCATACGCGGTTTCTTGACTCAGTTACTAACCATACTACCGACACAATTTAAACTTTATTTACCGAAAACTTTACTTTTCGCCCTGACAGGATTTGTTCTAGAAACTTAAAAGCTCCTAGGAATGAAATCCTCTTCCCTCCTTTCCCATGCCTTCCTATCCTTATCCCCACCCCCTTCTCTCTCCAAAAATAACTTAAACACAACACAGCAGTAGAAGACTCACCCAATAAAGCGATAAGAGTGCCATCGCACTAAAACAAGAATAAACACAATACAACAAAGAACTAGATACTAGAAAAATTGTCTATATACCGGGTGTTCATTTGAAAATTTCCCACCCCGGTTTTATCAAAAACCACTGATTTAAAAAAAAAAAAAAAAACGCCGAGACACGTCAAAAGACGTGTCAAGGGGGACAACTTTTTAAGTAAAAATAACTTCCCCCCACTTCACCCCCTACCGCCCAGGGGCACCCCCTAAAGAATCTTAAATGGGAAAGGTTATCGAATAATAGCTTGTTTGAAAGGCCTTATCAAGTGCTTTATTATGACGTTTGAATTTTTGAAATAGGTCGATTCGTTTTCGAGAAATTTGAAAAAATATTTTAACATTTCAAAAAAACATTAATAATCAAATAAATTAAAGTCAATAAATACCTAAAAGCAACACACTAAAATATCACTTTTTTGATAAGTGTTCAAAATGTTGTCCGTTATTGGCCATACAATAATATAGGCGATGATCAAATTCCTGACGCACATTTTCGAAAACACCTTGTGGGATATCATGGCAGTTTCTGATGATGCGTTGACGAAGTTCATGTAAAGTTTGAGGTTGGCGAGTAAACACTATAGATTTTAAATGCCCCATAAAAAAAAAGTCTAATGGCGTCAAATCAGGTGACCTAGCAGGCCATTCCATAGGTCCTCTTCGTCCTATCTATTTGTTTCGAAACTCCTCATCTAGCCATTGCCGAACCGGAAGAACATAATGAGGAGGAGCACCGTCTTGCTGGAAATAAACTTCAGCCTCATCAAGCACAGGGTTTCCATCCTCATCGATTTGGTTTTCGATTGCTTCAGTAATAAGGGGATTGATGGTACTTTCTAACATATCCAAATAAATTTCTCCATTTGAATTTCCATTAATAAACAACGGCCCAATCACTTTGTTTCCTAAAATGCCTGCCCACACATTAATTTTTTGGGGATATTGGGTATGCCCCTCTGCAAAAGCATGAGGATTTTCATTGCTCCAATATCTGCAGTTATGCTTATTCACACATCCGTTGAGGTAAAACGAGCATTCATCACTGAAGCAAATATTCTTTACCTGAATGGCATTATCATTGATCGCTTCAGTCATTCGTTGGCAAAACTCAACTCGCCTATCAAAATCGTCTTCACTTAACTCTTGGTGTATTTGCATTTTGTAAGGATGGAATTTATGGAGTTTAGTAACTTTGTGTACAGAGCCTAATGAAATACCGGTTGCATCAACAACTTTACGTTAGGAAGTATTCGGATTTATGCCAAAATGGCTTAAAACTTCAACCTGAGCGGCTTCATTTAAAACTCTTCTTTGAACACTTACTAAAAAAAGTGATATTTTGGTGTGTTGCTGTTAGGTATTTATTGTGACTTTAATTTATTTGATTATTAATGTTTTTTTGAAATGTTAAAATATTTTCTCAAATTTCTCGAAAACGAATCGACCGATTTCAAAAATTCAAACGTCACAATAAAGCACTTGATAAGGCCTTTCAAACAAGCTATTATTCGATAACCTTTCCCATTTAAGATTCTTTAGGGGGTGCCCCTGGGCGGTAGGGGGTGAAGTGAGGGGAAGTAATTTTTACTTGAAAAGTTGTCCCCCTTGACACGTCTTTTGACGTGTCTCGGCGTTTTTTTTTTTTAAATCAGCGGTTTTTGATAAAACCGGGGTGGGAAGTTTTCAAATGAACACCCGGTATAAGAACGGTTTTTCCTGAATTGGTTGTCTATGTCGGACAATCGGATAGAATTAAGATTTATGCTAAGAATTGTCATGGCAAAGTTTTGCTGCTATTAAATCAATGACATAAATTTCAAAAAAATACCCTGAAAAAGCAGGTAAAACAAGCTATAATCAGTGTAACATCAGCTATAGGAACCTTTGATGAAAAACTGGGGTGACATCAGATAATAAATGAATCGTCTAGTTAATGATTCGACCAATAATTTATTGAAGTCGCTCAAGACAATCCTTAGACCTTAATGATGTTTAAAAATAAAAAACTTTGTGAGTAATGTACAGTGGTAATGTATTTGAAGGGACATATCTGAGGCTTCAAAATCAATATCCAAAAACGTTAAAATTATTATTTCCAGGTTTTTCGGTCAAATTTCTGTACCTACTCCAACGAACATTGTTACAAACATTTATAAGTCTATGTTTGCCTTTATTTGTTTTTTTTTATAAAAAAATATATATTTTTTAAACATGTCTGCATGGTTCTCGTAAATTTTAAAAATATTTTTGACTAAACATATAGTTCTTATTATGACATTTTAATGCATTTTTTTCAGCGAGCAAGCATAATGGAAAATGGTACTTATTATTAGTGATAAGATAAGGTTATTTGCACGAAAAAAAATGCATGAATTTATAACCAATGTTTAGCTCCCTTTATTTTTTGTTTTATATCTTTCAGTATTTTCCCTAACGTTTCTTGAATAAGTAATTTTTTTATTGACATTATTTTATATTTTAAAAATTTTTTTTTTAGTTTAACAAGCAATCTGAAATAAAATACTGGAGGAACTCAAGCAAGAAGATGAAAAGTAATAAAAATTCCAATGAAGTCATCGTATAGACCTGATAAATCTTTGATTAAAGGTTAAATAAATGCATCAGTTAATGCCCTTTGAATTAGTTCAAAAGATAATTGATTTTAATAATTTAAACACCTTATAACATGTCTATAAATAAAAAGTGTTATTTCTATTATTTAATATTGTTGTTTGTTAATTTGGTTGGTTGGTAGGTGTGCGTGAAATGTAATGAGTTATAGTTATTTATGTATCAAGGGAATTATGAGGGTGCTAATACCCCAGGGCAACGTTTGTGTCTCGAGGGCCTCTGGCCCGAGGGACGCCAATTGCTCGTGGGTATTAACACCTGATAATTCCCGTGGTACATAGATAATTTTATATCCTACTGAATTTACTGTATTTTGTCTATTTTTATAAAGTTTACAAAGTTTTACCTATTCAAGGTAAAAGCGGGAGTTATAGAAATCCTTAACTCCCTTGGGAGTTATGATATCCTTAACTCCCTTGGGAGTTAAGACCCTGTTTATGATTATCGTAACCAAGGTATTATATGGTTATAATAGTTCGGTAGGATATAAAATAATTAAAAATACGTTGAGATGAAAAGTTGAAAAACATTTTTTTTTCTGTAATTTATTATAGCGTACTTTAAAAAGCAATTGAAAATTCCAATAAAATATAGATAAGGTAAATATTTTAATAACTATTTTTTTCTAAATGTTAGATACTTAATGTCAGTGTTTGTTATATTAATAAAAGTAGGTATATAATCTGCTCTAATAGCGCCTAATATCAATTTAAGCTTTTAGTCTTTTAGTATTCACAGAGGCTTTAGGATCTCTGTATACTGACTTCCAAAAAATATCACTATAATATAACTTGGTAGCCTAATTTTATAATTGATGTCAAATTTAGTATTACACAATTTTCTTTGAAATGCTTCCAGCCAGATAAAAACAAATAATCAGGCCTATGTATCCTCTCCTGTTATTTTGACAGTTGTGTTATAGCTCAAAATCTATACCTGTCTCTATTTTAACGTATAGAATGAACAGTGACAGATAACGTTGCTGTTAAAATAACAGAAAATGATACATCATAGACCTGAATGTTTGTACGTTTTGCAATTCTTCAATATATTTTTTAACGTTTTTTATTGTAATAAAGCAATATAAGTAGGCTCCGATTTACTCAATAAAGTATTCTTAAAAAAATGTGTTTTTGTGTACATTACCTCTACATCACTGACTTGGTGACATACAAAGGCAAACATAGTTTTCTCAAGATTTTCTTTTTATATAATTAAAGAAGAGGTAAAAAAAATTTACAGAAATGCGTTTTTGTTACCATATTACCATATTATTCTTATAATTTTATACTGAAATGGTATTATGATATTGTAGTACTCATTCATATATTATGACTAATAGAAGCCCGCATCTAATAAAAATACCAATATAAAGATGGCGGTCATATTGGTTTTATAGCAAACAGGCCACCAGAGGTTGTACACAAGTTGCTCGCGATGGTTTCCTAAAACCTCGAGACCATATCTAAGTACCTATATACCTACCAAATTTCAAAAACTTGGAACAAAGTGCACAATTCTTATGAATTTTAAATAATTCCAGCTCCGCTACCAGCTACCACTACAACGACCAATGAAAGTTTATAGATTTGGATCGAGAAAAATAGAAATCTTAGGAGGAACAAATATCACGAAGCTAAAGCAGAAGCTAAACTTTTTATAGCCCCCTGATAGACGTTGAGAAATAGCATCAATATAAAACAACCAAACACTGAATAAGATCACATAGGTACCTACTTAGTTACAGTAAAGAAAAGAAACATTTGAATCTTGTTTGAAAGGAAAAATTTAGAAATTTCACTTTTGTTTAATCCCAAATTGAACCTATGGTTAAAGGATAATGTGTCATACCTTAGAATTTTGTTGGATGGACAATGTTTTCCCAGATGCATTTTAACACCCAATACTAATGTGGAAACAAATATGCCTATGGTATATTTAACAAATAATCAGGTACCTACCGATAAAGATGAGACCACTAAAGCAAGACCCTGTTATGAAGGAAGTGAAGCCAAATTTTCAACAAATGAAATTGATACAGAATTAAACATGAAGATTGAGACCCCTGGAGATTGAGCACAAAAATGCTAGATCTAAACCCAATTAAGACGACTGTGCAAGCTGTGTTCGCAGATACGCTTGCCCAACTCGGCTTGGTTGAGCAGCGGGGCGAGTGTATCGTTTTCTGTCAAAGAGCAGCCTCACTCTCTGCGTTGGCCAAGAAGGCTTGGGCACAGGAAACGATTTGAGTAAAACACCTTTTGAAGCTAGATGAATACTGATTTATTTCGAATCTTACGTCCCTTTTTATATTGAATTTTGGTAAACTAATCGTGACAAAAACTGCAAAAATATAAAACACTGTGACCGTAATTACTTAAATGCATGCGGAATGCAACTTACGATGTTTGGATATTTTTATATTACCCAAACATTGTGACTAACTAAAATCTCATATAGCAAGCTGACCGTGATATTGAATAAAATATAAATATACGAAGTCGGTCAAATTACACCGGCGAAGGTTAATCACTGTTTAATTGTTCTAATTAAACATTCTGCCGCCTCTCCAGAATGGAAGAACGCAGAGACATTAGCTCTATGTCTTCTTTTGACGTCTTCTGTTGATAAGTTTTGTTGTTTGCCATCCTGCAATCACTAGTATAATGATGACTATGGTGGTGATGCTGTTAGTGGCTGCGGAGTGGTGATGAATACTGCGCCATACTTTGTTATGAAGTCGATCAGCGAGGTCCTCTTCTTCTCTTACTAGGTCTCCAAAACTGTCGGATTCTCTAAACACGGGCTCGGTGGCTATATCTGTCGGTGGACTTTTGTGGAGAGTACCATTGAAGATTATGGGTACAGCTTTTACATAGCTGCCTACCACTGGAACGATTGCGCTTCTTATGGGAGTTGGAATGTTCTGTTTTGTCTGGATGGTGCAGTCTTGAGAAATTTGAATTATTCCCGTAGTATTTATTCCTACATCTTCCCTCTCGCCGTTGCATATAACCGCTATTGTTGTAGACGAACCTGCGATGAACATCCATGTATTCGCGGTACATAGTCGTTTCCAGAGGATGACTTTTAGCCTGTGTTGTTGTATGTGGCAATGTCTGGGTTGCGATCGTTCATAAATTTCATCGATGACGTAGGACGGATTAGATTCAATGTTTCTAACATAAACTGGAGAACAGATGAGCTGGTGTAGGTAGGGCTGAATGCACTGTTAAAGGTCGCTTTCATAGAGCTGAAAGTATGTTTGACTGTTGTAGTCGACGGCGGTGTAATCATCGTGAAGGTCCAACGCCCAGTATGTTTCATTCTCAATTCTGAGTGGAATCGGTGTTGCCTTCAATAGGGTGAATTCCGTCACGTCAACTATTGGAAAATATCCACACACCTTGAGGTGCGTGTTGTTGGTGATCAATCTTGTGGACACTGCTGCCGAAAGAATCTTTAGATTGTTTGGGAGCTTTCGATTGGATTTTTGAATGACGGCGTTGATATATGCTGGTGAAAATTGGTCATATATCGTACCCCTGTTGAAGTTAATGTTCAGCAATTTATCATAGTGCTCATTGGTTTCGCTGATGAAGTTTGTAGCTACTTGGTATGCACTCAATAGGTGAATGTTAAGGGCATTAGTGTCTATTTGCTTGTACCAACTCTGCATGCTGTTGATAGCTTCTATTCCTTCGTTGAGTCGTTTCTGGAAATGTTGTAGTTTGTTCGTGATTTTGGCATCTGTTTCGTTGAATTTTGTGAGGGCCGAGATCATGAACTTTGTTTGGTAGTTCGATGCTCTGATGAATTCTTCCTGATTGTTGTTCATTGCCTCGATATCTTGATATACTTCGTCATTCACTCCAAAAACCGCAGTCAAAAATTTTCCAAATAGTCCTCTCTTAGTTCTGTGGTGAGTGTCGGCCATGGTAGCAAATATCCATTTGGAGTGATTTTCCATTTCTTCTAAGTGTTGTACGAGCGATGTGCATTTGTCCTCATCGGTGAGCTTCTTGGATTCGTTGCACATATTTTTGAATTGGCTGACGACTGTGGATACCTTTGATAATTCCGTTTCAGTTTTGTTCTTAGAATACGTTGTCTCTATCCTAAAAATCCCTTTATCAATTTTTGCTGATCAAAGGTGTTCAACGTAAAAACCATGTTGTGGATAGTTGATTTTAAACCCTGTTTCTGCAGCGGCGGTTGTAATCATCATATTTATGGCTGCTAGGGAAAACAATACATATGATTTTGCTGATGTTGATGCTACGTTCCGTAGCCGGTCTGATCTCCGAATTTCTGAGTGGTTTTGGGGTGGTTGGTAAATGATGTATGCCTGCTGTCGGTAATGGGATTAACTTGTGGATCGGTCTTTTTTGTGGTGAGCCACCTGCTTTCGTTATTGTTACTACTCGGATTGCTCCATCTTGTCCCTGGTGAGTTTTTATAATTCTCCCCAAAGGCCATTGGTTTGGGTTTCTATTCTCTTCTTTGATTAGGACCATTATTCCTACTTGTAGATTGTTGGTCTGATTCTGCCATTTGTATCTTTGCTGCAGTCTGGTGAGGTATTCTGTGCACCATGCGTTCCAAATATTTTTCTTTAACTTTTGCACGTGTCTCCATCGTTAAGATAGGTTAAAATGTTCTGTCGATTCCAAGTTTGGTGGTGCTAGTTCTCTTCCTATGAGAAAGTGTCCTGGGGTCAAGATGTTGAAATCATCTGTGTCTTCTGTTAGCGGGTAGAGTGGTCTTGAGTTCAAACATGCTTCGATTTGATACACCAACGTTGTTAATTCTTCATAGGTCAAAGTGCAGCCTCCAATTACTCTCTTGAGATGGTGCTTCATAGATTTTACACCTGCCTCCCATATTTTTCCGAAATGTGGGACTGCTGGTGGAATGAAATGCCATTGTGTTCCTAAGTTGACGATTGGGTTTTGCACATATTGTGATTGTATCAATTTTGTGATTTCATCTTCGAATAGGCGTGCTGCTCCACCAAATGTAGTTCCGTTATCACTGTACATATTCGCACAATGACCCCTTCTGGCTGTGAAACGTCGAAGTGCTGCCAAGAATGCCTCTGTTGTCATGTCGCTGACTACTTCTAGGTGAATGGCTTTGGTTGCTAGGCATACGAATACTGCGATGTACCCTTTGTAGGATTTGTGACCTCTTCCTTTTGTTGTTCTGACTTGAATCGGTCCGGCCTAGTCCACTCCTGAGTTTGTAAATGGTGGTGCTGGTGTTACTCTCGATTTCGGAAGTTGTCCCATGAGTTGCTGTGCGGTCTCGGCTTTGTGACGGATGCATACAATGCACTTATTTATAACTGCTTTGACGGCCCGCTTACCGTTGATGATCCAGAATCTGCTTCGTATGTACGACAATGTCGCTTGGTTGCCTCTATGTAGCGTGGTCTTGTATGCGTTTCTCACACCCAGCGTAGATTTTTGAGAATGGTATTCTGTTCTCGGAACTGTTTTGGAATTGATTGGAGTAATGCCGGTGAGTTGCTAGACCATTTTCTCAGGTTAAATCCAGCAAGGCTGAGCATTTTTAGTAGTTGATTTTGTAGTTCTAGTTAGTTTTCCATATGCTGCGAACTTAAGTGGACACACTGTTTATCTATTTATGGATTCTTTCAGTTTGTTTGGAAGAAAAGTTATTGCTCAATTTATAACACATAATTGTGTTTTTTTATGTTTTTTTTTTTGAGAAAAGTCGTATTTTTTTAAGTTTGTCTAACTTAAATGTTTTTTGTAGTAGGAGTTTATTATTTTTGTTTTAACTTACCTATATGTATGTTTGTATTACATATTATGTATAAATAAAAGATTCTGTATCTGCTGCTCCCGATAATATGTCATCGACGTAGAAGTCTCTTAATGCTGCTTGGCTTGCTGCTGGAAATTTGTTTGATTCTTCGATTGCAAGCTTCTGTAGTGTCTTGATGGCTAGATATGGTGCTGAGGCTGTACCGTAGGTTACAGTGGTCAGTTCGTATTCATACATTCATACATTGGTTGCTGTGGATGCTTCCTCCATAATATTCTCTGGCATTGTTGATCGTCTGGATGAATTCGGATCTGCCTGTACATTTTCTCTG